AAGGTGGTCATCTCCTGAGGGGTGCCAGACTGCGAGAGGGCACAGGCCCGGCTGAGGGCCCCCCTCCCCCCAGTGCACAAATTTTTGTGCACCAGGCCTCTAGTTATTAATATAAGGAAGGAAGCTAGTTATTAATATAACTAAGTAAAAAAGCAAAAGGGAACTAAAGAATAAGCCTAATAACCTGGGAAGCTGAAGCAGGTAGCAGGACTCAGGCCAGGGAAAAGTCAGAGTTGGGTTAGATAGTCTGAAGAGTGCTTTGTTCTTTAGGGGAAACAAGAAATTATAGGGCAGAATAAGGAAAGACTTGGGACAGTGCTTTTAGAGCTGCCCACTCTCTACCTCCCTGGGGGTGTATTAATTCCTTTAAAGCAAATTAAAAGTCTTGCCATCACGTTTGAACTTCTCCAGGTATGTGTCTGAAGTCTTTTCTCATGACACTGAAAAGCTCTCATTTCTCACCAGGAACAGGTTGGCGACTCTGCCAGGGCTGGAGAAGCAGCCAGGTGTGGTGGGATCTGGGACCCTTCAGTTAGCCGGAAGACCAGCCTGGCATCTACGTCCTCGCCTCGATCTCCTGCCTGCCTCTCTCGCTTTTTTCTTTATTCCACCTTTTATCTAGGTGTTTTTGAGCCACAAATTGATGGTGGGCACAGGTCAGGATTTAAATGCCATTAGGGTGCCTGCCACCAAATAAAGAAGTCAGCCATGGGGGGATGACCTGTGTGAGATGGGCCAGAGGCACTAGGCTGCCTGCCAGAATCAAGACAAATTCAACCAAATTGAACAGATAGAGGCAAAAAAATGAAACTAGACCACCAACTTACACCATACACAAAAACAAACTCAAAATGGATAAAGGTTTTAAACGTAAGAGGGGAAACCATAAAAATATTAGAGGAATCCACACGCAGCAAAATCTCAGACATAAGCCAAAGCAATTTCTTCACTGATTCAGCTCCTAGGGCAATGGAAACTAAAGAGAAAATAAACAAATGAGACTACATCAAAATAAAAAGCTTCTGTACAGCAAAAGAAACCATCAACAAAACAACAAGAAAACCCACTGCATGGGAGAACATATTTGCCAATATTTCACTGATAAGGTTTAATCTCAAACATTAACAGGGAACTCATACAACTTAACAAAAGGAAGATAAACAACCCAATCAAAAAATGGGGAACAGACCTAAATAGATACTTTTTGAAAGAGGACATAAGGAAGTAAAGAACGCCAAGAGACATATGAAAACATGCTCAAAGTCACTAATCATCTGAGAGATGAAAAGCAAAACAACAATGCGGTACCATCTCACACCTATCAAAATGGTTATCATCAACAAATCAACAAAAGACAAGTGATGGTGAGGATGCGGAG